GCGTCCATTTCTAAAGTAGGACTCTATGATAAACACTTTTTGTTCTTGAGAAAACACCATTTTAAACGCTTTTTAAAACGAAAATATTCAAATTGATAGCGGCGATATAGCGCTTTGACAGATGACCTTTAAGTTCATTTGCTATACGCTACGCCCTACGTCCAAATTTTCAGAACCAACTTGACCACGTTTTTATTTGAATGCTCGTTATTTTTTCCCGAAACAGGCTCTTTCATGTCTATAATGACTGGGCTATACGGTATGTAGGGTTTAAAATCAATATACGAGTATTGTCTAACTTACACTTTGTTTCAAGTTTGCAGGCCGTTCATTACAAAGCCACACAAAGAAAAAAAAGTTGTTTGTGCTTTTCATGCGACATATGTTATCCGTGGTATTTTTGCCTCCTGATCACGAATCCGGTGTCAGAATTGAGCTATCCCATCACAGGAATTTCTTAACCTCAAAAAACAGGTAAAAAAATATCCAAAATTCGCGAAAATGTGCTAGGAAAAATACAAACATTTTTTTTTGTATATTCTAATGTTCATTTATATGGTTAATACCCCGCCGAAGGTGAATCCACGGTCAAAATTGATGGTACTACTTCTAACCTCAAAAAAAAAAACGGGTCAATTAAGGTCAGATATCACGAATTTTCAAAAAATAGCAAAATCGCGCCAAATTTGGTATACGGGGGTTTTCCGTGTCGCTGATCTCGGATCCGTGATCAGCGACCCCGAAAGCCCCCGTATACCAAATTTGGCGCGAAACTGTTATTTTTTGAAAATTCGTGATATCTGACCCGTTTTTTTTAGGTTAGAAAAAGAACCATCAATTCTGACCGCTAATTCACGTTGGGCGAGGTCTTAGCTATACAGGGTGATTCAGAACTTATCCAAAAAACATTCTGGATGTGCAGGGGACCCTTACAAATACAATTTTGTAAAGAAAAAATGAAAAGGGCAGTTCGAAATTGATTTAAAAATACACTTCTGCACGGCACTGGAAACTGGTCCACTGTAAAACCTGACCTGGAACAATAGGTACCTTTACACTTACGCTCAATCGTGAGCGATTGGAGCGCCCCGTTCCAATCACACGCGAAAGCTTGTTAGTGTAAATGTATATAATCGCGCGGTTCTTAGACGTGTCAAATCTTGCATTACTTCGCCAGTTGTTTTCATGCGGAAATTTCACGTAGGGTAAAGTTTACTTCGATTTTCACGCGGTCTTGTGGAGTTTACTCTTAAAAGGCGATAAGTACTTTTTTAAATTTTTTAATATAAACATAGCTACCTAGGATTCGCATATTTGTAAGCGTTTTTGTATTTTTTTATAGACTATGGCAGATGCACGATATTGGTCAAAAGAAACAATTACAAATTTTATTGAGCTATATAAATCCTATCCATGTTTATGGAAGATTAAATCTAAAGAAAAAAAAGCCACTTTTAATTTTCTTTTTTTGTTTATAATTTGCTCCATTTCAGAACAAACCGTCTATAAAACTGTTGAAATTTTTAACACTCCACGAGCCACGACTATCGCGCGAGAAACTTGACACTTTTCAATTTACACTAGCCGTGTTATCATGTCACATTTCACCGCGCAGGCAATACCGTGCGATTGGAGCGTGTCAATTTTTAACAACAAAGTTTTAGAACGCGACACTCAGGATTGCGCGAAA